GACCCCTGTGAAAGGTTCGTTCAACCCCCAAAGGGGTCGCGACCCCCAGGTTGAGAACCGCTGCCCTAGAGGCAGAAACAATGCACAGGGCTGGCTGGAGGCGAAGATAAGCCTTTTACTGAAGAAGTTAGAGGCCTGGGGCGTGAGCGTGAGGCCCCACTGCGACCTGCCCAATTAGGAATTTACGGTCAGCTCACCTGTGAGGTTACGTTCCGTGCGGGGAACCCTTCTTTCGCCCACAGTTCTCATTTCCCCTCCCGCCCCTTCCCTGCTAAGAGTGTCCCACCGATCGTCTGTCTGGAACGCTGTAACACTGCAGACGCCAGACCGTCATCGTGACCCATCACTGTGACCCCGTTGGTCGCTATCTGCTTGTTTTTGTGATTATTTGATTTTGAGTTTTCTCCATTGAGCTCTGAACGCCACAAGTCCAGAGGCCAGGAACCACATCTGTCCAGCTCACACTGTTCAAGGGCAGATATTGCCAAATGCAGGTCAGCTGACAGGCAAGGACTGAGTTCCCTTAAAAAATGACAGCTTTATTGAAATATAATTCACATGCCATGCTGTTCCATCATTGAAAATGCACAAGTCCTCAGCATCGTGCAGGCCTCACCACAGTGAATTTTAGGACATTTTCACCACCCCAAAAAGAACCCCACACCCGTGAGTAACCCCCCCTTCCCCAGCCCCGGTCACAACCGCCGTGGATTTGTCTCTTTGGGACATTTCCTGTAAATGGAGTCATACAACATGTGGCTCCCGTGTCTGACTTCTTTCATGATGTCCGTTTACCCAGTTGTCATGTGTGTCACTACAGCACTCCTCTTGTGGCCAGTCGTATTCCACCGCACGGAGGGACCGTGTTTTTTTGGTCTGTCATCCATTGGTGGACAGGGGATTGAGCGGGGTTTGGGACGGATGTGCTGAGTTTCAGAGCTGGCGAGGGCCCTGGGGGAGCGCAGAGTTCTGGGCTGGGAGTGCTCTGGGCACGTTGGGGACGGGATGGGGGGAGCAGTGGTTCAGGTGGCCTTGGCCACCCGTCACTCAGCGAGTGTTCTAAGTGCTTTGACCAGGGGTGTCCAGAGGCTGCCCTCGGGCCACGGACTGTGGGGAGGCAGTTGGCTCAGCACCCCCCTGACACCTTGTGATGAATGTTCAGCTCTAGGATGAGTCCAGAGGAATGACAGCAGGCCCCAGGGGAGGCTTCCCGGCTCAGCCTGGGAGGCTGGTCCTCCTCTGGGCTGGT